ACCCACACCTTCTATTTACGTGCGGAACAACTTACTCTCAGCGGCCGCGGGAAACAAATCTGACTACATTTTTTCACTGAACACTTGCTTTTAAAAATTTTCTTCCCTGTCACTTCTAGTTCCCCACCCCCAAAATCCTATAACCACCGTTTCTGAAGGACAACATGCAGGGACTAGGGATATATGAGGTGCACTACCTAAACTACTTTTGCCGAAATTAATTCTTAAACTTGGAGTAGATCAGTATATTCAAGGGGCTACAGGCAGAAGCGAAATTGTTGATATAAATATTTGGGTCGAAGTCCATCAACCACCGTGGGATAGGCACCTGACAGCCGCAAGCTGCCAACTCCATGTTCAAAAAGTAACTTGTAATGAAATTAAAAAAAACGGAAGCTTCAAAACAGCCAGAAAGCACATAGGGAATACTGTTGGGGGATCCACGGTAGAGCCGAAGCCGTCGCAGCTGTGTCAAACAGCGACATAATGACGGCAAAGCACGCGTGGGTCTGGACTTTTGTCAGTGCTGTCAGTATGCTGAATACGTACATCATTTACGCTTCATTCAGCCTTGGTGGCAGCTTATGCATATAACGTGGATAGCCCATAATGCCTGATGGATTTCGGCCCAAATATACAGAAAAATGCTGGCCTGTACCTATAGACACTAATCTACTGCAAATTTCTAAGAAAAAAAATCAAAAAACCAGGGGATCCGCATCCACGTCAACTGTAGCAAAATAGAACTCCATTATTCCTTGTTGCAGCCGCAAGCATGCACAAACTGAAAGCAGCCCTACAAACGTCAATAGTTTTTTTGCTAGCACAAGGCAAACCTTCTGGGGGGTTCGAATAAAACATTGACTAGTGCATTTTTACAGTTTCCATGGAGGTACTCAATGGTACTGATGAAACATTGCAATTCGCACGAAACATGCTGCATACATTGGGCACGACCCCTAACAAACTGTCAGGGATGACGCCCTAGAAGGCAAGCCTTTAAACTGAACATAATATCTGAAAGAGAAATAAATATTGAAGAATATTTTGTACTTACATAGGCAATGATTACCGACCTAAACTTCTTTGAATTACTTTAATTTTGCTTAAAAGTTCTTGCTTGACGTGGCTGCCTTAATTCTGTTGGGTGTGGAATAAACTGAAATCGTTGAACAGTGCACCTTTTGGGGGAAGGGGTCATCCTGAGAATTGTCTAAAACACTTTCATCCTACAGCTAAGGGTCAGTAAGCATGAACCTAAATTCAGGCAGTTTAAACGTGACTGCTTTTATCACCCAGTACAGTAACTGGCCTAACTCATGAAATTCAAGTCATTTTATAGAAAATCGCTGGTACGCAAAAACTACCGCAGCTGGGCTCCTCAAAGTCTCACAGCAGAAAATTAAACATAATAAATCATAAGGTGCCTTCGTTTTTATTATAAAGTAATATTACGCGGTTCAGAAATAACAGTTATTATAGAAAAGAGAGAAACTGAAAAAGTGAAAAATTGGCGTTAATGAGTAAACATAAATTCAAAGTGTAAATAAAGTCCGTTCATGCAAACACAAACGAGTGAATAAAGCAAGAAAAGTAAAATTAAGTTGTAAAAATAATCCCTTTTGCGAAAATTTCGGCTAGATATGCTTCCATATTACACGCAGTGTAAAGTGCGGCCGTTACCAAACAGTCCGAAGTTAAAATATGTAATCTAATACGAACTGTCAATCTTTCTTCACTATGTGAGTGTTTTGAGATGAGGTGGACTGGGACAACCATGCAATAAAATGCTCTATTTGCGTTTACAAAATTTCAATGACGGCAAATCGACATTTTCCGTGCCCTGAAAAGATATTTTCTGGCTTATGTGAATGTTCTCTTTCTGTACAGCACGCGTAAATGACATCATTTTGGTCTGCAGCGTTAACTGGTGCAAAGCATTCCTTGGGCACCAGGAAACTTTGGATTTTGCCCAATTCTGCGCCCGTTTCTCTTTGATATAATGCTGTGAACTGAAGTCTTTTCTAGTAAGCATCAAATCAATTTAATGGACAAAATAAACACCCCTCAAATGTGTGTTAAATCATCCCCTCAAATTTGCATCTTTACGGAAGGCTTGCAACACTAGCGTACGCTCATCGTCTGCTGTTTTTTTTAACTCTAGACATAAATGAGGGCAGTGGAGTGGCCAACAGCGTTTCAGCTACTGAAATAGATGTGAGTTGGGCTACCGGCTCCAACACGGGGACTGTCAAGGCCAACGACGTGACTGCGGTGCTACTGGGTGGTGGTGGCATTGCGGCCAAGCAAACGGTCTCCGGCGCCGCCACACAATGCACCCTGAGCGGCTTGACACCCGGCCGTTACTACAGCGTCTACGTTCAACCCCACTACTCATCACC